TTTTTTGTCACTTTATCGTTATTGTGGTAAAACCTAGAAATGATCGTAATACATTTTTTAGTCCCTACTCTGCACCCAGATGAATATAAGAGCAGTCCAGCTCAGGACTCTCTATCGTTTCTACACCTCAGTTAATAGATTTTTAACACCCAATCTGCATTTTAAATGATATTTATAAATGGGTATTTGCCCATTCATTTTTAAATATCACAGGAATTCAAGCTTTTTTACTTTTATGTTGATTTAGGGAATTTTTCATCTTCATTTCTGTAATTTTGACATAATTTAATATTCCTTAATTAACATGAAACCACACAAATTAAACTTTGTTGGACATTTTAATCCTTAAATCAGCCAAACTATAATAAAAAACGTGGAAGGATGTGGAAGGATACCAACTTTATAAACAATAAAAAACTGTGCAGAGGGTCAAATTGTGCACAATTATCCATTTATTACAAATAAGTTTGTGTGTCCTGTGCACATTGTTAACTGTTAACACTGTTAACATATAATCATCCAACTCACCTATCGTTGCGTTAATAAACTTTAAAAATCTGGATAAAAAATGTGGATCAGGACAATTATCTGTTATAATGAAGGTAAAAATACATCTTAAAAACACGTTTTTACAATTAAAATTAACTGTAAGTTAATACATATTTTCTGCAAGTTTTAAAGAAAAAAAATTAAATTCTTAAAAAATATCTGTGAGCCTTAAAGCTCAAAATGCATCCATTAGACTTCCCACTGTCTCAGAAACAATTTGGAGCAAAAATATTGGAGTCAAAATATACCGTTATCAGAGAAAACGGATCCTACTTTCATGATCCACTCACCTCCCATCCCCCAGAATGTCTAAAATTATCCTTTTTATTTCATTCACCCAAAATCATCTAATATATTTGTTTGGATGTGAATTATTGAGCTGCCCCATGAGGAGGAATTTAAGTTTTCCACTGTATTGCATCAGTGCCTAAGGATAAATCCAGCTTCCTGAACCTATAACACTCCATTTAAAAAGTATTTTTTCTATAAAAGCCTCAACAATCAGGACAAACATATGAAAAACTCAAATCAATACAACCTCTTATTTGGTTTCACAATCAAATCATTGTTAATTAGTCTTATTAAGACTCAGAAAACCAGGGAATTTTCTCTTTTTTTTTTGTATTGAGTTTAAAACCTCTAAATTACACAGGAAGTCGTCTAAAAAGTAAACAATTTGGCAAATGAATGACCAGTCTGTGCACGTTTGTGCTCTAATTTCTATTTCTTTTGTCTCAGATCTGAATCCAATCAGTACACAAAGCCACAAACACACACACGAGAGTCCCAATACGAGTTTGAAGTGTCAGTAAATCAATCTCCTGCTTGAATCCATCAGCCTTTCTGTCCAGCTCCTCCTCATGGAGGATAAACGGGCTTAAAGCTAGAGACCCTGATGACAACCAGCTTAGCTTTGGCCTCCAGCTGAGGGCCGCGTCCAAACCGGCGGATTTGTGTCTGCGTTTAGGGGATAAAAAGGCCTTCCTGCCATGGGAAAGATGCCGGAGAATTAAACAGTTAGTGGAGGATGTTTTAAAAAATGACGACCATCCAGGGACGTCCCCTTTTTACCCTTTAAAGTCTGAAGTTATTTATCTACTTACTTAATGTAAGACTCATGTTGAACAGGGATTTACTCTGATAACAACTTAATGGTTAGGACACAGACCTGTGGGTTAGCAGATGCTAATGCTAATGCTAACCAGCCTGGCTTGAGCCCACATGACAGAATAGTACCAATCGGGTTAGCTACTTTTGGTCAGCTGGCTAAAACCAAATTCCCACGAATTTCGAATAAAACATTTTGGAAACATTTTTGGAATGCGTTAAAGGCCTGAAATCTAAAAATATGGATGTAATTTAATAACGAGGTGTAGGGATGTCCCGATCCCGGCCTATCAGAGCATGTGTTAAAGTCTAAAGTTATTTATCTACTTAGTTGTCAGACTCATGTTGAACAGGGATTTACTCTGATAACAACTTAAAGACAGACTTACAGATGCTAACGTTAATGCTAATGCTTAAGGCTGTGCTGGAAAATGACCGGATATTAGGGAACAGCACAGCAAAGTGGAATGGATTATTTTAATTGGCCGATTGGATCCAGATATCGGATCAGGACCAGCCTGGGACCATAAACATTTTTAAAAGAGTTTCACAGACTTTACCGGGTCCACAGGACTCAGAGAACTAACGTTAGCACATAAATACCAGATGTCATCAGCCTGCAGGAACCAGGTCAAAGTTCAGCCCGTTTCCTTTTTTTCTCCTTTGTTTTATTGTAGTGGTGATTTTCAATTAAATCGATTATGCTGGACCTCAAACTCCAGAACAAAAAAAACAAAAAACACATGCATATATCTTATATATCTCATAGATGGGCCCCGCCCACATTTTTAGATTGATCCCAACGCGGCCCCAGGTCTGGGTTTTACTGAAGGAGGTGAGGCTTTTCCATGGATTTAAAATGTTTTGACGGATTTGTGGAGTTTCTAAATGGATCTAAACTACTAGATCTGCTTTTTTATCTGCTCTTTCATGGTTAATGAAGCCGTCGTTATAAATCCGACATGTACAAACACGATGGCAGCCTATTGGAGCCTCGGTTGGATGTCCAACTCCTCCCACATCCAAGTCGGCCAT